TCCGCTGGCTGTGGGGGACAGGGTGTGGTTGTCCACGAAGCATCTCCGGGTTGATCATCCGATTAAGAAGTTGGATCATTGCTTCATTGGTCCCTTCCCTATTGAGGCGGTCATCAATCCCGTTGCTTATCGGCTCACCCTGCCGTGCTCCATTTGCATTCATCCTGTCTTCCACCGTTCCCTTCTGGTTTCTGACACCCCATCATGTACTCTCCATTTCCCAATGATGCGGTTTCTCCATCTGGGCCCAGCGATGATCCTGTTGTTGATGCCACGGTGGTTGGCATTCACGATTCATGATGGCTGAAAGGACGATTTCAGTACTTCGTAGGGAGGTTGGAGAATGAAACAGAGATTCGTTCCTGGGAGGATGCATCCAAGGTGCATGCTCCGGACCTTATCCGGCTATATCATGCACAATTTCCACCGAAGCCACATCCGGATCGCCAGACTCATGGGAAGGGCCCTGCAATGAGGGATAGTGTTGTGACTGGGAGGTTTGAGCCTGCTGTGTGCTTTGAGTCTGATGTGTCAGAAGACACAGGTTCGAGTGATGAGGAGGGTTTGGCATTGGAATTTGAACCTGCTTTAATGGGAGATGCAGACGTGAGCCAGGAGGATGAGGAAGTGTCGGAATCACCTTCCTCTCCAGAACCTTCCACATCAATTATGCCTCAGGTGTCAGCAGCTGATCCACAGAACATGCCAGAGTCTTTGAGTGATGATCAAACTGACAAATGTTGGGTTGATGCAAGGACTAGACGTAGGCTGAGACGTCAAGCACAATTTGAAAGGAAACGTCAAATCAGAGGCTAATTAGAGAGACTGACACACCCCTTCAAGGAATATAAGGAGGCGTGTTAGCTAGAGATCCTTGTTTGGGTCAAACTTCGTTAATTACGTTCGCAGTTTGGGAGAAGCCTTCTGTTTACCTTTCAGCTCTGATTTATCATGCGGCTTCTTATCTGAGTTTGAAAACAGTTTCTGGGAAAGCTGCCAACAACGACTACAGAGGAAAGTTAACTCTGTTGTTTCCTGATATTGTCTGTTCATGTTTATTCCTTTGGGACATTTGGACTCTCACCTTGTGGCTACAGGTGAGACAGAACACATTAATATCTTTCTTCATTGTAGACTGAAACAGTGTATTAACATCTATATTTGACAACAGTTACAGTGACTAAGTAACTGAATAAACCAGAAATAAGTTATCCCAGAATATGCAACAAACAATAAACAACTGTATAAATATTGATCCACCTACACATTTCCTTTCTTAAAAAAGACCGCTTTATTGTATTATAAGATGCAATAGTATGATATGTATTATACTATTGCATTTAGCATGCAATAATATAAGATGCATTACATTTTGGGGGTACAGTGGTAATATAGGATTAACTAAGTGCTTGGAAGAATAAACCTTTCATCCCAGTGAGAGCTCAGATTGGAACCTGCAGTATTAACTATTAATACTATGATGTATTTTGTTTCATTATGAATATGAACTGACTGAAAACATCATCCATGGGCTTTCATAAGGTAGTAAATATCTAGGAATAAAAGAATATTAGTAGTTCGGGATTGAAATGAGGGTCTTTGGTGTTTTCTGAATTTGATTGTTTTCTTGCAGATGTTTCATCACTCAAACTACGTAACATCATCAGTGCAAGGTTTGGTCTCATTTCATATTCTAGTGGTTTGCTCTATCAGTGTTTGTGGGGGTGGTTTTGGTGGTTTTTTGTTTGGGCTGCTTATTGTTGGCTTGTTTGGCAGTTTCTTGATTGGGGTATTAGATCATAGAACAACAGAGTTGGAAGGGACATTGGAGGTCATCTAGTCCACCACCACCCCGCTCAAGCAGGAGAGTCTATTCCAAATATTAGCCTCTACCTAGGATAGAACTCACAGCCTCCTGATTGTGAGGCGAGAGCTCTAACTCTAGGCCACCAGAGCTCCCTATTGTTTACTTGATTGTTGGTCTGATGTTAATCTTGGAGTTCATTTAGTTTGGGTAATGAGATGACTGCAGGAAAACAACCAAATTCAGGGAGAGTACCAAAGAGCCCTCAGTGAAGTTCTAGATATTCCCTCAGGAGTTTGTCTGTCTGTCAGTCTATCTGTCTGCCTTAAAAACATTAGATACAGAGACAAGAGGCAAAGGCAGAATCACTACAATGGGAGCACTTTTTCTGTTAATCCACCAGCTACTTCTAACAAAGAGTGCCCCTATCAGGACCCCAAGCTAACTGGCAAAACTCAATTTTCATGCCCTTGCAGGTCAAAAAGGGTGGGAGAGACCTCATCTCAGATAGCAAGACATTCCAAAAAATGGGGACCATAGCAGAAAAATCTCTTTTTCTAGACCTTGCCAACCAAAACTAATTTGAGACAGGAAGCCACACATGATCAGAAGTGCAATGTGTTTTTCAGTCCCTTGGCCATATTTATATTATTGTTTGGGGTGTTTATTTTTATATACTTTAGCCTCATGTTATCCCTCAAGGGTACCATAAAATTAGCACAATTGATTCAAATGTTGCAAACCCATGGCAGCTCTGACCCTACGATTAGACTTATTGGAAATCCCACCCAGTTTATTTACTTGTATTCCCATATTTCTCAGGTACAGAGGCTGTTATTAGATGCTGGGGGCTTGCAATTGCTGCAGCTGCTCCAACAGTGACCACAGAATGTTTAACCACGACTGAATCATGGACTAGTGGTTATGGTAGTTTCTGTCGTTGCTATCTAGCAATACTAGCTATTTTCTGGAATAACTGGTCCATTTGGATTACCACTTGATTCTTACACTGGAGAGAGGCACTAGTAATTTGATTGGCAGCTGTATATGGTATATGGACAAGGTTGTACATAAAAACATAAAAATATTTTTCCTTTCTTACTATCTACAGTTAGCAAACATCCCTGCTAAATTACCAAGAAAACTATTTTTTTCTTTAACATTCTTCATGTCTAAATAAAAGATCTGACTCAATTGTTTATAATGAAATACTGCAGATATAAAACTATATATTTTGGAAATGCCACAAATCTCTCTTAGTTGATGCAGTTTTAGGTGAACAGATTTCTTTTATTTTTGCATTTGTAAAGTATTTCTATACTACCACCTCCTTTTATTGGATCCATTGAGCTCATAGAAATTTCATTTTTGAATATCAGTAGCAGTTCTATCATTCTTTCATTGTTTTAAAAATGCTTTCTCAAAAATAAGCAGAATGCAGCATTTCTGCAGCATTCTGTGCTGCATATCATTATTGTTCATGTATGTTGTCAGGCATTTCAGAGGTTTATTGATTTTTTTTAGCAGCAATCTTACTGACAAAATAAAACTTAATTGTTGGCTATTTCTAATAATAACAGGTTAGACTGATATCCAGAAAATAAAATTAATTAATTACAAATGCAATTTCAGGATTAATTTCCAACACCTATTAAGAGTGTATGTGTTAAACAGTATTTTGTATGTGATATGTATGGGGAAAATCTTTGAAGAAATTTATAGAATTTATTTAATTTAATGAGTTCTATTATCACACTGAATTTAGAGAAGTTTTAAATTCTTCAGGTATATGCATAATATCTAGTTTTCAGTTCACTATTCCTCAACAACTTCAACATGTTGAGTCATTAAGATTTAAGAGCTGACCAGCAGCAGTAATAGCTGCCAGATGCTGTAAGTCTGGCTGATGCAGTTGAGAATGATTCAGCATAGCATGGGTATTTCCTTTTAAGACTGGGGATGGGTTCTATCCCTTTAAGAATGTTTATATAATTGCAGCAATTAGAGGGCTGTTCTCTTTCCTTGTGTCCGGTATTCATTGCAGAGTTCTCCGTGTAGAGTTAAGAAGAAGAAAGCTTGCTTGTAAGGTATTTTGTCTACCATGTATATTTCTGTATATAACTGTCTTGTAGATAAATCACTGTTAAATGTCTAAGTCTCTGTGTGCTGTGTTTTGCTCTTGGGTTGTCTCGTAATAGTAGTCACACTGTAAACGCTCTGACACAATACAAGACAAGGTTTTAAAATTATGGAATCACACTCACTGTTTCATTATTATTATTATTATTATTATTATTGAATAATAATATTTTAAAATAATAATAATATAATGCTTCTGTTTATATGTTGATGAGCATGCCCATATGATCATTCTAAGGTGACTAAATATAATTGATAGTTTACAAATGTACCCATGCCAGTATTATAACTGTAATTTTAACCTACATCATGAACGTTATTAAAATCTGTCTAAATTTAATTCTCTACCAAAATATCCTATCTCAATTTTACTGTTCATTCCTTCTGTATCTTACTTCCTACAACAACTCTATCCATATAGTCATCATGTATCCAAGGTCCCTTTCAACTTTGTTATTCTATGAATTCTATGAATGTAATATAACACATAAAAATACCATATCTACTGTATATTAACATTCTTTAGCAATTAATAGGGAAAAATCTCTTTATCTATTTACAATTTTAGGAAGAATTATAAGGTTTTATAGAAATAAATTAACAGTCTCAATAACTATTTTTAAACTGAACTTTCCTTCCATATGAAATAGAAGAAACAGAAATAAAGCATGCATTTAACATAGAATTTGCATGTCAGGTTTATTTTTCTGTGAAATATCGGAAAATTGGATTTATGATTTTAGTACTGGCAAAAAGATGATTTTGCAAAGAAGTGAACAACCAATAACAATATGGGTATGTCATTAAAAGACCTGAAGAACTAGGTTAGAGAAAAATCTATGTGATCAGTAAAAGTCAACATTCACTTGATGGCACATAATTCAACTTTTTGATTGACTGATTAATTATATCCAGAAAACCCTGCATTTCAATTAATGTAATGAAAAAAAATTAATTTGGTCAGAAATACATGACAGTCTGAATAAACCGCTATAATTTGCTATTTTTCTAACTTCATTAATATATTCTTAAAGGAAATAAAGCATTTGTTTCTTACTTGTAGTACCATCATTAATCTCTTCAAGTCCAGTAGTTATACCAGCATCAATGGAACTCATTATTTTATCAATCTGCAAGGAAAAATAGGGATTTTTAAAAGATGTATTGTAATGTAAATTAACATGTAATTGTATACAATAAGAAGTGTAGAGGCAAAATAACTACTTTTGTTATTTAAATGTTACTGTAAAGTATATACACATCTACAAATAACACAAAATGAATAGCTTAAGCTGAACTATTAACATGAATTTCAAAGATGTTCAGATTATCATAATATAGCATCCACACAGTGTTGGAAACATTTCATTAAATATGTGTTTAAATGATTACCTAAAAGGGCTTCAATGGATGCTATTATACAACAGGGGAGGGAGGGAGGGAAGGGGAAGGGAGAGAGGGAGGGAGGGGGGGAGGAAGGAAGGAAAATTATATACTTATCATTTTATTTTATTTTAGGACATTTATATTCGCACACGGAGACTCAAGGTAGTTTACAGGAATATAAAAACCACACACACACATAAAAACAACACATCGCATGAGCCATTTAATGGGCTCCATCCCGTTCTGGGTTCTCCAGGCCAGCTGCCAGAACCAGGTCATCAGTGCCTTCTGGAAGAGTGTTAGAGTGGGGGCCATTCTAATCTCTGGGGGAATGATGTTCCAGAGAGAGGGAGCCACCATGGAGAAGGTCCTTCTTCAAGGTACCACCAGGTTTATCTCCCTAGGGGATGGGACCCATAATATTTCTTGCCTCCCTGCTCTGGTGGGTTGGGTAGATGTGACCAGCAAGAGATGGTCTCTCAGATAACCTGGTCCTGAGCCATGAAAGACTTTAAAAGTGACAACTAGCACCTTGAATTGCACCTGGAAGCAAATCAGCAATCAATGCAGGTCCCGCAAGAGAGGTCATACATTTGCACAAAACCATACGGGGCACTGTATTTTGTACCAACTGGAGCTTTTCCATGCTCTTCAAGGACAGCCCATATAGAGCACATTGCAATACTCAAGATGAAAAGTGATTAGGGCATGAGTATCCATGAGTAGGGATTGTTGTCCAGGAAAGAACATAACTGGTGCACACCACAGTTGCGCAAAGGCCCTCCTGGCTACACTTGATCTTCCAGGAGAACCACTAGATTATGCACAGGGTCTGTTTGGGGTAGTGCCACCCCATCCAAGACCAAAGGTGGCAATTCTTCCTGGGCCAAAGAACCCCAAACCCAGAGCTACTCAGTCTTTCCAGGGTTCAGTTTCAACCCATTGCTCCCCATCCAGCCCCTAACAGCCTCCAGGCACTGTGAGTGGAAGGATACAGCATTGCTTAACTCACCACAGGCTGAAACATACAGCTGGGTATTATCACCATATTGATGATACCTCAGTCCATGGTAATGGGTGATCTCACCCAATGGCTTCATATAAATGTTGAACAGGAGTGGGGAGAGTACAGACCCCTGCAGAACCCCGCAAAGTAATGGGTGAGGGGTGGATCTTTTTCTTCCTGTCAACACTGACTGAGACTGGCCACAGAGGAAGGAAGTGAACCAGGATAGTACAGGGCCTCCCAGTCTTATGCTCTGAAGTCCCTCCAGAAGAATACCATGGTTGATGGTATTGAAAGCCTCTGAGTGGTCATACAGAGCAAGGATGGATGCACTATCCCCATCCCACTCCTGCCAGAGATCATCCAATATATGATATCTAATATTTAATCTTATCAAATGCAGGCACACTTTGAATAATTTATACTTGTATTTCACTGATTTCTTTACCTTTTCTTTTTCTTAGGAAAGTGCCAAGTATAAAGTATGCATCTTTTATAAAATTATTTGTTTCGTATTTGTTCTACATGCATCTTTGTTCTATATGCACTGTACACAGATTTTGCATGGAAGAAGCATTGTTACAAGAATAGAATAGAAGGTTTTAGAATAGAAGGTTAACTATTTATTCTTCTCAATTTGGGGTATATACAGAAGCTTGTTTATTGACTTTTCCTGAATGTACTGCATCAATGTCTTTATTTCACAAATTTCAGTGGATGTCTTTTTCAGAATGTTTAGCAAGTTCAAAAATTTTGTTAATTGATCTGGAACTAAGTGAAATAAAAAAAATATTCCTTCAAATGAGATACTCTCATTTGAAGTTTGATTTATATATAAGTATTTCAGATGAAAAAGAAGTCAAGATACTGACAAATATCCTAAAACTACTCTACGGATATTAATAGTCGGTGGAATATGGCCATCTATATATTTACAAGGTAGTCACTTGCAAAGATCCTACCTTCCATTGAATAATGTGAGCATCCTTAGGATAAAATTCAGTTTTGATTGCACATGTGGCATCCTGACCACAATCAGGGAAAGTTGCATGTGATATAGGTACAACTAAGACTAGTAACTTAGTTCCCTCTTTCTTTGTCCTACTAAAATGCCTTACTTGAATGTTTTGATGAACTAAAACTATGATAGTTAGTATAGATCAAGATATCAAATAACAATCATGGCTTGGAAGTAAGCATTAGTCTTTTTGAAGGAATTTGATCTTTTACATCTAAACAGGTAGTCTTCAATAGCCAGCCCATTATGGTCACAAGTTGTGATGGCTGTTAAGTAAAGCACCCATGTGATCACCTTGCTTAATGACCCCCCTATCTCTTCTCTCCACAATGTGATCATTAAAGCTAGAAGCAGAAGGCTAGAAATTAAGGGAGGTGGGGGAAATGAAGCTGGGCGAAAGCTTTTTACCACCTTCATTTCTTCCTGAAGTTCACAGGATGCCTTGCCCTGCCTGTGCTAGAAAGAAAGGCATTGCAGAACAAGTCCTCTGTCCCTCAGCATTCTTAGGCCATGTTGCTATTAGTATTGCTAGATCTGACTGTTCTAGACTGTTCCAAAAATGGCAGTTCCTGCCGATTTCCCTCAGCCTGGGTAAGTGAGGAAGCTGGCAGGAAATTGCAAGTCCCAGGTTGGCAGGTAGGTAAGTGTCTGCTGTTGGGTGAGTGAAGGAATGAAGGGTTATGTGGATGGTGTCGGAGGATATTGTGGGAGACATGGCAAGGGTTGAAATGCAGTTCTGTTATTTTGATTCACTTTCTTCCTTCATGAATACTTACTTCTTCCCATTCTGAAGTAAATGATGGTGTTCTTTCAGAATTTTTTCTAGAGGTTTCTTGGATAGCTGAAGATTCGTTCCAATTCTGTCTTGCTTTGTGATCATTAGAAACAAGATTTGAGTCTGATTTAGAAATGTATTTGGATAAATGAATGTCAAGAAGTGTCTTTGGCAAAGATCGTATTCGTCCAAGTGTGCAAGCACGTTCTACAATTCCTGCAGCATTAACTACCCACTGATCTCCAGTTCTTGTGATACCAGCCAATGTGTTAGCTTCTCCTAGAATGTTTTTAGAAGGGAATATAGTTCTATTTAAAATTGGTGGCTTTTTCTTTTTAACCAGAAGAACAGTGCTATTTTCTTGGAGAGAATGTTGTGGATTCAAAATACTGAGGTTCAAACTAATTTTTTGATTCAAATCATCGTTTGGACAAATTTTTCTGTAGAGGTGAAGTGGATTTTCTGGTGGGTCACAAGCAGGTGATGATCCATGAAGAAGGCCAGCAAACTGCTCAAAAGGGTGTGCTTCTAGATGATCACTGTCAATGGATGTTTGTTGGGTTCCTGTAAAATATAATGATCCTTACTGTTTTATTATTTTAAACAGAAAAATTTCTTTTCTTTAGCAGTATTGCATTGTTGCTTGCACAATAAGAAAAAAATCTGATAGTATTAAAGAAAATCATTTTGCTTTTTAATTGTGTTCAGCTATATTTTAGTACATTTCCTGAATTACTCCCTTACTTTGAGAATCTTAGCCTTATTAAATTTCTATGAAGTTGACAGAAAAGAGAATCATATAATTTGGTATATCATAATCTTTTAAATTTTAAATTCTCTTTGTCTAATATAGAAGATATATATGTAAGTACCAAAAACCCAATAATCTACAATGGTGGCAAAGAGCCTCCCTGGTGTAAAACAAAAACTGTGGCTTATTACATGTTACAGTTTTTCTTAATAGTTGTTGCTTTTCTATATATGCATGTGTCATGTATATAACACTAATAGTAGATGTACTGTAAGTGGATTTATCAATTGAAATAACATGCCTGTAATCATAATGTAACTTGAAAGTGTGTAGAACTGAAGTGTTTCAATATACTGAATATTTATTTTGCTTTCACTTTTGTTCAGATACAGGACTTACTACATAATAGCTTTGAATTATCTTTACCTTTGTTTCATTCAAGATAAACTATAGATAGAACTAAGAAAATAATTTAAGCCCAACTTGGAAGGATATATGCTTCAACCTGTTAATTGTGTATTTTTTTAGTTATAACATTAAGAACTCTGCCTTTTAAAATAATTATTAAAGATTATAATTGCAATATTAAAAGAAGGAAAGAAGAATAGAAAGAAAGCGTATAAACTGCAAAGGAAAATAAGTGACTTTCAACTTTCATTACAATACGTATATACAATTTTAGTAACCTTTTACTTCCTTTTAATTTACATTGAAGTATCTCTTCATCATATGTCTCATTTCTTATATATAAACAAATCCATAAAGCAACATCATTTCAGTTCTCGAATCAGCAAAAGTACATTAAGGGTTGCCTGAAATAACATATCTATTTGAACCTTCATCAAGTAAATCAACTTTATATTGCTTCCTTTTGTTTCTAACCATCATAATCTTTAGTCTATTCAAGTACTGTCATAAATTTTGATTCCTTTTCATTTCTTTACCCTTTCTTACAATGTTCATTCAAACTGTAACAAACCTCTTTTGTAAATCCAATAAAAATATTATCTAAGTCATTCTCTTCATTTATTATTTGTAATTCTCTCTCTCTTTTAAAGCATGAATCATTTTCTATTGTTATTGTGTCCAATAAAACGTTTTTACCATGTCATTTTGGTAGCCTATCATTTCCAGTGTCAACTCTGTCTTGTCAAATAAAACTTGTTTCTCTTCTGTCATTTCTTCTATATTTTGGACACAGTCTATCCATAGAAGCAAACATTGCTATTGACATTGTTAACTTCTGATTCTATTTTACAAAAGTATCATTCAGTATTTCCAATATTATAATATTTTGAATTATACTGTATCTATTAATCTGGTTTATATATTATTTTCCTTTCATTAAAGTCTTAAGTGTCCAGTTTTTAAAACTGTTTATCTTTTTTATGTCTTAGGAGAAAAAAACAAGTCCACTTTTTCATAGGAAGGGCTCTTTATAATTAGTTCCAGATCTTATTTCAAATTTATCTGGACCCTTAATCCATGTAAAATCTTTTTTAAATAGTTGTTATGCTTGTAGTTTTTTTTTTTTTCATTAAGAATTAAAGGCATACTCACTCAGTGCTTTCAAACTTGTCAATAAGTTTGACTTCTAATAGCTGAAAAGTAGTTAATAAGCAATTCTGATTGTGATTAGAAAAGGAAGTATGTAAACCAGAGGTGGTATTCAGCAGGTTCTGACCAGTTTTGGAGAACTGATAGCGGAAATTTTTAGTAGTTCGGAGAACCGGTGGTAACCTTCCCCCTGGAGTGGAGTGAGAATGGAGATTTCGCAGTATCCTTTCCCTGCCACGCCCACCAGTCACACCCACCAAGCCATGCCCACAGAACTGATAGTAAATTTTTTTGAATCCCACCACTGATGTTTTAGTTTCAGCTTAGAAAGACTGCTTCCAAAGGTGCTGCACACTATTTCAACCTCTATTCCAGGGAGCCAGCAATTCTCAGTCCTTCTGGGATTTGAGAGACAAAATGTATGCTATTTAAGATAGAAAAAGGAGCCCACTATTATAAAGAACAGCAATTTCTCCAGAATGTCATCTTTTCAGAAAGATCATAGAGTAACACTTTCTGAGCTTCAAAAGATAATCGAATGAAAACAAATAAGAGTCTGCCTGATGTTATGCTTAGATAATAATTTTAAATTTAAATGCACATTCCCTAGTGAAATTACTGCAATGTTGAAAGCTTTCATATAAATTCTACTCTTGAAAACAACTGCATTTAAATTTGATATTAAAAGCTAAACAATTTTCAGGGCAAACAACTACAAACAACTTTGGCAGAACTGTAGAGTATGCGTGTACAGAAGTGTATTATAAAAGGAGGCGACAGAACCCCCAAATCAATATGGAATGCTGATCCCTCTTATTTATTGGTGACAGAAGAGCCAGTGGGATGGAAAGAGACATAGTCATATTTCACCCTGCTACCTATTGAGATAGAACATAGAATAACAGAGCTGGAAAAGGCATTCAAAATCTTCTAGTCCAACTCCCTGCTTGAGCAGTAGCAGAGGTGGTATTCAGAAGGTTCTGTCCAGTTCTGGAGAACTGGTAGCGGAAATTTTGAGTAGTTCGGAGAACCGCCAAATACCACCTCTGACTTTATAGTATACTTCCCCTGCCACGCCCACCAAACCACTCCTACAGAACCAGTTGTAAAAAAAATTGAATCCCACCACTGGTAAACCCAATATCTTTTATAGATGCTGACCATGGTGTGAGCAAGATTTTTACTTATACCTATTATCTTGTAAGCAATTTACAAAAATAAATAAATAAACAAAAAGATGACTATTCACTCATCTCCCAGGGCTCCACATCCACCAGAAACCATTGTCTTGCAGTCTTCTCACAAGGAATAACTGTCTCAAGCACTTGGGACAATGTCTGTTTGTCTGGAGAGCTTCAAAGATGTATCTACTCATTTTGTTCTTTTTCTTCATAATGAAAATTCCTTTCACAATTCCTGTGTTGGTTTTCTCATACAGACGGTCCCAAAGTTAAACAAAGATTTCAATCCAGAAACCCTTTCGTAAAACAGTGTTCATGCAAGTTGAATTGTGCACTACACACATGTGCAAAATTAGTGCCTGACATTTTGCATAAAATTGTACTAATCAATTCTGTATCCACTTGTACATTATGTAAAGCAGGACATACATAATCTTGGGACTTCTGGTATTATGAATGTTCTCAGATATGTGCCTTTTTCTTAACTATAAGAAATGTTTTTAACAATTTATGCAGTCCCATGAAATTTACATTAAAATATTAGAATTTTACTTGATATCACGCTTTTAAATCAAAACAGAGAAGACACTACAGCTATAACTTAGTTGGGTTTTTGAAAGTTCTGATATGGTTCTTAGAAGTTTCTGAAACAGTTTTGTCTTATTTGGTGTTTCTCCAAAGTATTATATTTTACACTGACATAATTCATTAAAACCTTAAATCATGGATTATTATTAATAGTATAATTCCTCCTTGATCAATTTTATTAGCACATCAAAGATACCTTTCTATAGTTTTAATTTTATTTTAGCAATTATTACTAATGCAATTAATTAGACTTTCTGAAAAAAATCATAGAACTAACTATTAGAAGATCCAACAAAGTAAGAGGACTAAGGTTTTAGATTAAGATTTGTCTTCTTCACTTATGTTGCTATAAAATGTCAAGGGATTATTCTCAGGATTGTAAATTTGAACTGATCACATGTTTATAAAAATGAAGACAATTAAAGAACAAGGTCTAGAATATACAGGGCAAAATAAAAGTGGTTAATTTAACTGTGAATTTGATTTAGATTCTTACTAGCCATCTATATTTCATTAAATTACATTAAATAATTTGCAACATTTTCAGTACTTTAGCAATTATATCCTGTATGATTTTTCACCATGTAAATCACAAATTCATCTTGTAAAAAGTGGATTCAACAAGATCAAAATAGCAAGAATGCTAGTTTTCAGGGGCATAAAGCTTGCGGAAAGGATTATCAAACAAGACTGAAGGGACAAATTTAAATCTGAATGGCAGCAATGTTGTTATAGGATGTCTTGCCAACATTTTAGTTAGCTTTTATTTTTAACAGATAGGCTGGGTAGAAGACTGTTCTGCAATATACTGTAGTAAAGGATTTTAGACTTCTTTGGTTTATAAAATGATTTCCAAACTTTCAGTCATTTTAAAATTATTATTAGGATTATTAAGGTTGAGATAATATTTTTTCATTAATTTTATTGTACTGTATTTATTCTTGTTTAATCAGTTTTATATAATAGAGTTATATAACAATATCATAAACATTCATGTACATCTCCACATTCACATACATATTACTGTTACATATTTTGAAATGTTATTTTAAGTGAAATATTATTTTAGGTTTTTTTTGTTTTTTCATTCAGTTTACAATGTATACACTGTGTCAGGCTATCATCCTTCATGCTAAATATTATATAATGGAGAATTGGGGACAGTTGAACTATATATTAAAGTAATAAAACTGCAATATTTATTATGAGTGAAAACTGAATTAATCATACATACGGAATAAAAATATGTGCAACTAAGAGTTGAATTATTAAATGAATAATGCCTGTAAAAAACTATATCATATTATATCAATAATAATCACTGTGGTTGCCATAGCAAAGTATTCTCGTATGAAACAAAATCTCTTGTTTGAACTGTGTGCCACAGCTATGGTAACAAGCAAATTATGACACTTGTGCTGCTAATCTACTTAAATTATCTTTATATTTGATTTAGAAGGAAATATTAAATCTAAAAATATTTCTAA